TAGTTTTTATTTTTATTTTATTTGTCTCTTTTATTCCAGTTTATGTAAAGCACTTTGAATTGCCACTGTGTATGAAATATGCTACAGACTTGCCTTGCCTATGTTTCCACATGACTTAATTATGCGCATATTTAGTTAATATGCAAATCTATTACAGAATATCATACATGCTGCATGTTGGGAAAATTCAACTACAACAGCATGCTTTTATTAGATATTACATATGTTATCATGCTTGTTCGCTCTTATTCACCAGGAAATATTATTACTTATATATTATTATTGATGATTTTCATATACGCAGCCACATTTGAATGTATTATAATTTCCAGTTGCAAAAGCCGACAGATGAGAAATTCACACCCTGTTATGACACGCCTGAAACAATGCGAGACATGTGAAATATGTCAGATGAGTGGATGCACAAGTGAAATCTGCAATGATCTGTTGTGATGTTGTGAGGTCACGCTCGGGAACTGTTATTGCGTTCACTTTTGTTGGTTCAGTGTGTTATTTTTGTGTGCTTTTGATTGCTGAGGCACATTCTGTGAAAGGACAAACCTGTAATCTTAAAATTACACACCAGTCTGTACAAACCAGACACATAAAAGCAGATGCTCTTCCCTCAAATCAGAACTGGCTTCAGATTATTCACAATATCCAGTTATGTGCAGGTGCAAAACAACCTTTTAATAAGAGTTTCCACAGGGTAAAACGAAAGAAAGCTGAGGGCGTATTCATGAAACAGCTTAAAGTTAAAATTAATAACAATGCCTGACATTTATATAGCGCTTTTCTGGACATTCAACATGCATCCACCTGGGTTACATAACGGCAGCCATACTGTGCCAGCCCGCACACTTGCTGATTGGTGGAGAGGAGATGAAGCCGATTATGATATGGGGATGGTTAGGAGGCCATGATGGACAGAGGCCAGAGGGAAAATTTGAGAGGGGTCTGGCTGCAGACCTGGTGCACATGCAATCTGAGCTGCATCCAATGCATTTTAATGTGCTCACCTAACCCCACCCCTAACAGTGACATCACTAGGTCCATTGAGTGCATTGTGTCGACGTTTGCATCTCTGAGCGATGCAATCTCAGCTTGCATCATAAAGGCTGCCTCCAGACACTATTGGCAACCTTGTGAATCCCAAAATTGGCAAACTCCACACAGAAACGCCCTTCTTACTGTGAGGCGACAGCACTACCTACTGCGCCACTGCCTCGCCTGTATTTATTATGTATATAGAAATACACGCATGCATGCATATGAGAAAAGCTTATCTATATTTAGATATAAAATATATATGACACAAATTATATATAATGTAAATAATATTTCACAGTATTATTCTATTGTATTTTTTACATGCATAAAAAGTTTTGTTTTTTTAAATGTGTGTGTGTGTGTACATATGCACAATAGATATATAATACACACATACATTATTCATTCATTTATTCATAAATTTTCCTTCGGCTTAGTCTCTATTACAGGGGTCGCAACAGTGGAATGAACCGCCAACTATTCCAGCATATGTTTTACGCAGAGGATGCTCTTCCAGCCACAACCTAGTACTGGGAAACACCCATACACACTCATTCACACACTCATACACTATGGCCAATTTAGTAACCCCATAGCGCATGTTTGGATTGTGGGGAGAACCGGAGCACCCGGAGGAAACCCATGCCAACACGGGGAGAACATGCAAACTCCACACAGAAATGCCAACTGGCCCAGCCGGGACTTGAACCAGTGATAGTGCTAACCATTGAGCCACAGTGCCACCTATTATATCTATATATCTTTTTTTAATGGTATAAAAATACTTTTTGATAAATGTAAAGTAAAATTTCAAATGACAAACAAAAATCCATTAGTCCATGACTTTAAATATTTATAAACAAAATCCAACGTCTGGAATACACCTATTAAACCTCCATGATATTCCAGGAGTCGTGGGAAGCCCGATTTAAGTGTGTCTTTGTTTTGTTCTCTCTCTTTTCAAAAAAACAATAATGAGAATGTCAAAAAAAAAACTTTCGCCTTCTCTGTCTTTCTTTTAAAACATGCATCACCTGGAAAATATGGCTTTCAATGCAATCCTGATGACATTGCTGGCGAAGTCTCAAATGCTGAGAGAAAGATAGATAGAAAGTTCGCCAGCAGTCCTAATGCACATCCAGATCTCCTGTTTCAGATCAAAGACAGAAATCTGAAGGCCTGAGGAATCATCTGAGCCTCTGACTCTACAGAAACACCCAGATCATATTTCAGGTGCACTTCTGTTACACACACACACACACACACACACACACACACACAAACACACACGAGAAGATGCTTTTGTGTGCAGCTTTAAACATGTGCACACATGCAAAGACCAATATATATATATATATATATATATATATAGGTGACGCAGTGGTGCAGTAGGTAGTGCTGTCGCCTCACAGCAAGAAGGTCGCTGGTTCGATCCTCGGCTGGGTCAGTTGGTATTTCTGTGTGGAGTTTGCATGTTCTCCCTGTGTTCGCATGGGTTTCCTCCAGGTGCTCTAGTTTCCCCCACAGTCCAAAGACATGCGGTACAGGTGAATTGGGTAGGCTAAATTGTCCGTAGTGAGTGTGAATGAGTTTGTGTGGATGTTTCCCAGAGATGGGTTGCGGCTGGAAGGGCATCGGCTGCGTAAAAACTTGCTGGATAAGTTGGCAGTTCATTCCGCTGTGGAGACCCCGCATTAATAAAGGGACTAAGCCGAAAAGAAAATGAATTAATATATATAAATATTAATAATTAAATTATATATATATATATATATATATATATATATATATATATATATATATATATATATGTACAATTAAATATGTTCATTCCATGAAAAAATTATATTAAATTTGTAAATAATTTTCAAAAATGCTGAACATTACATTTTGCACATCACTGTAATACTCTACATTATTTTAGATTTTAGTATTTACTTATTATTAAAGTGCTTAGTAATGCATACTTTTTTGAAGGACTGAAAAAAACTTTAGTGTTTATTTGTGATAAAAATGATAAAATTAAAAGTCTTCACTGCAGTATTAAAACGTAATATGCCATTGAAAAATTAAGTCTTGATATTCTGGACAAATGATAAATATTTGTCTCTCTTTCTGGATGAAATTTGTAAAGTTTTTAAAGATTGCTGTGATAGATTATTTTTGTATAAGAAATAAAGTAATGGCTTTATTTAAAAAAAATATATGATTGTTTTTATATTTATTCATTAAAATATCGATTTAAATACATTTGAAAAGAAAAATCACTATTGCAGATCACAAATGAATTCAACAGCGACATCAAGTGTTTGGATATTATATTATATTATATTATATTATATTATATTATATTATATTATATTATATTATATTATATTATATTATATTATATTATTATATTATATTATATTATATTATATTATATTATATTATATTATATTATATTATATTATATTATATTATATTATTATATTATATTATATTATATTATATTATATTATATTATATTGTATTATATTGTATTATATTATATTATATTATATTATATTATATTATATTATATTATATTATTATATTATATTATTATATTATATTATATTATATTATATTATATTAAATTATATTATTATATTATATTATATTATTATATTATATTATATTGTATTATATTGTATTATATTATATTATATTATATTATATTATATTATATTATATTATATTATATTATATTATATTATATTATATTATATTAAAGAATTCTTCCAGATATGCACGTTTTGCATGTGTTTGCATATGTTCACAACAATATAATTGGCTAAATAATTTTGTTATAGTATATTAGAAAAAAACATGCGAAAAATATGTTTGTTTTTATATTTTGTCTTTAATTTGTTTAAAAAAAAACACTTTAACTACATTTAAGGAGAAAAAAATCACTATTTCAGAGGACAAATTAAAACAACAGCGCCACCAAGTGTTTGCGCATTTTGGCAATATTACATTATGTTATATTTGTATTCATATGCATTAAAAAAATCTTCCAGATATGCATAACTTGTGCATGTGTTGGCATTTGTTCACAACATATAAAAAACAAACATGCAAAAAAATATTTGGTTTATATATTTTGTCTTTTTGCTTTTGTTAAATGAACTTTTTAAATTCATTTGAGAACAAAAAACTATTTCAGATCACATTTTAACATAAAAGCGCCACTAAGAGTTTGCAAATTTTTCAATTTTATTTTATACTATATATTTTTTACATATGCATTAAAAAATCTTCCAGATATGCATAACTTGTGCATGTGTTTGCATATTCAAAAGCGCCACCAAGTGTTTGCAAATTTGGCCATATTTATATATATTATATTATTTTATATACTATTATACAAAATAACATTCTTCCAGATATGCAAAACATGTGCATATCCTCAAAACATCCACAAAAAATAAACAAAAAAATATTTGTTTTTACATTTTGTGATTTCTTTGTTTTAAAAAAATATTTCAGAGCACAAATGAACAACAGCGCCATCAAGTGTTTGCAAATTTGCCAATATTATATCATTTTATTTTACATAATGTGCTATAAAATCATGCTTCCAGTTATGCAAAATTGTATATGCATATAATTGTAGTGATGAGAATATGCATATGGCACAATTATAGTATGTCAGAAAAATAACATGTAAAAAAAAACCTGCAAATGTTGCTGGAATCCAACAAGTGACTCAAATGCAAATGCTGTCCTGTATGAAAGCCCCCCTCAGTGCAGCCCCTTTGTGACCCAATCAATACCTAATAGGCTTACTGAGCACTCGTTACAAGGCGCTAATTAATTTGTAGGTGGGGGTGATGTGTTTGCTTAACAGCTGGCAGAAAATAATGTTAACTTTCCTTCATTCAGACCCAGGGAAAGTTTAAAGATTTCACTTAAAACGTTAGAATAAGTTTTAGAATTATTTATTTATATTTTGACCAAACACACACAATAAAAAATAACAATAGGTATTTTTATCATTTAAATCATAAAAAGACATAACTAATAAAGACATTTAATAAATTACAATTTGGTAACAGAGAAATAATAATGATGATAATAATAATAATAATAATAATAATAATAATAATAAAGAAATGTAGTTCTACTCTCAGTGTTCTTCTCTGCCGGTTTGTAAATCGCTGAGGACGTTTTTCACCATGAGGAACTGGGACTCTCTGTGCGAACGCTTCAGCTTTGCTCTTCTGTTCTGGAACCAAATCTAAAGAAAAAATATAAAACACACAGTTAAAGTCAGAATTATTAGCCCCCTTTGATTTTTTTTTTCTTTTCTAAATATTTTCCAAATGATGTTTACCAGAGCAAGGAAATTTTCACAGTATGTCTGATAATATTTTTTCTTCTAGAGAAAGTCTTTTTTTGTTGAATAAAAGCAGTTTTAAATTTTTTAAACACCATTTTAAGGTCAATATTATTAGCCCCATTAAGCTATATTTCTTTTCAATAGTCTACAGAACAAACCATCATTATACAATAACTTGCCTAATTACCCTAACCTGCCTAGTTAACCTAATTAACCTAGTTAACCCTTTAAATGTCACTTTAAGCTGTATAGAAGTGTCTTGAAGAATATGTAGTCAAATATTATTTACTGTCATCATGGCAAAGATAAAATAAATCAGTTATTAGAGATGAGTTATTAAAAATATTATGATTAGAAATGTGCTGAAAAAAATCTGCTCTCTGTTAAACAGAAATTGGTTGGATCAATATTTTGTCTGGAATCCTAAAATGTAAACATTGAGAAAATCACCTTTAAAGTTGAACAAGTTGAGTTCTTCAATTAATATTACTAATGAAAAATTACGTTTTGATATATTTACAGTAGAAAATGAACTAAACATCTTCATGGGACGTCATATTATCTTATATTTCTAATAATTTTGCCATAAAAGAAAAATCTGTCTATTTTTGGCTATAGCTACAGTACTGCTAAAATATATTCTTGTCCACAAAATATAAGACTTTTGTGCAAAATTGGACTTTTTACATTATTTTACTTAGAATTTTTACACATTAATATTGGATTAAAATATATAATAATAAATCAGACATAAAAAATCAGACAAAATGATATGTTTACAGTAAATGATGCAATATTTGAGATTTTAAATCAGTGTTCACCTGGATTCTGTCCTCATCTAAATGAAGCTTCTTCGCAAGTTCTTCACGTATATCAATACCTGGGTATGAGTTCACTTGGAAAACACTCTCTAATATCTTGATCTGGAGGTAAACGACAAAAAAAATAATAATGAGTAAAAGTACATTTAAAAACACATTTTGTCTTAAGCATTTGCATATGGTAAAAATATATTTTTTTCCTGGCCAAAATATATTTGAAATACATGCTAAATACATGTTGTATCTGTGATGTTCACTTAAACTTAATTTATTTTTTTTTTAATTGAAGATACATTTCATTTAATCCAAAACATATTTCAAAATATATTTTAAGGTGAAGAAAATATTAAAGTATCCACTATTTAAAAATATATATATAAAAATATACATATACAAAGAATAAAACAGAACCAAATGTTTAGCAAGAATTAATTCATGTTTATTCTTTTGTAATGTATATATAAATTATATAAAGTTTGTAAAAGTATCTAAGTTTATTCCTTGCTTGATTGGTGTGATATCTGCATTGTGTATTAAATATGTATTATATATGTATTAAAATGTGCATTTATCTCCTTGTATTGCAATTTGAATATTTGAATGATTTTGAAATATATTTTTAAAAATTTATTTCCAAAAACGGTCCAAAAATGTGTTTGCAGAAAATATTCTGCTCAAAAATAAAGGGAACACTTAAACAACACAATGTAACTCCAAGTGTTCCCTTTATTTTTTTAAACAGGTTTATTGCTAAATATTCAAAAATGGCCAAAAACATTTTTTTTTTGCCAATTTTTGTTTATTTTACAATATATTTTGCAACGTGTTTAAATGTGTTTGTGTGTATACACACACACACACACACATATACATTTAAATACGTTGCAAAATAAAGTTAAATAAACAAAAATTGTTCATATATATATATATATATATATATATATATATATATAATAAAGCCTATAATGCTGTTTAAAACTAATCCTGCTGAATATTCCCATTCTCTCTGTTGACATGCATGGAGGAAGATGCTCGGCTTCACAAAAGCACAATGGCCGCTTGGCAATTTGCTGGAAGCAGCATGTAATAATTGTCTCATTCAGCTCTGAATTGATCTCTGTTGGCTGCTTGGCTGCTTTTAATAAATGACTTGCTTGTTTATTTGTCTTGGCTTCTCGGAGAGCGCCGAGGACACAAGCGCGGCCCCTGCGGAGCCATTGTTTTGCTGAGAAATTACCAATTAGACTTGTTTAAATGCAAAGCAAAAATGTAGACCAATTAGAAATGAATATCAAATCACTTAAATGACAATGCAAGCAATTTATGTTTAACTCTGCAGAGATAATCCACGTTTGGAGAGTTTGACGGAGCTCATTATAGGGTTTAAATGTTAATACAGTGCTCAGCATATATAAGTACACCCCTCACAAATCTATCTTTTAGATTCATATTTTTAATATTATATTTGTGCATATGCATTCGATTAGTCAGTACTGAAGCCTAATCTGGAGCTAATCTAACAAAATAATTTACGATAATGGTCCAAAAACTAGTACAGCCAAATTTATGTGTTATAGAAAAATATTAAATACACATTTAAAAACGAGGAAAAATCAACAGAAGCAAAAAAAAACATGGAAAAATGTGATTGTATTATCTTTGAATTTCTAAAGATGTTTGGACACTAAAATATGATTTTAAAAAATATATCTGTTTAATAAATCTGTTTTGTTTAAACGCACCAAAATACATTGCCTATATTCAATGGGAAATGGAGAAAAATCTTCATTTACAAAATGGGCTGTACTCAATTATGCTGAGCACTGTATATGTACAGGATGGACGGACGGACGGACAGACAGATAGATATACAGACAGATAGACAGACATACAGACAGATAGATAGACAGACAGACAGACAGACAGACAGACAGATAGATAGACAGACAGACAGACAGACAGACAGAAAGATAGATAGATAGATAGACAGACAGACAGACAGACAGACAGACAGACAGACAGACAGACAGATAGACAGACAGACAGACAGACAGACAGACAGAAAGATAGATAGATAGATAGATAGACAGACAGACAGACAGATAGATAGATAGATAGATAGATAGATAGATAGATATACAGACAGACAGACAGAAAGATAGAGCCTTTTTTCAGCCTTCTGTGTAGATGGAAACTTTGAAAAATAAAACTTTATAAAATGTTACTTTGTAAAGTTAAATCAGATTAACTAAACCCAAGTTATTTCAACCTACATTAATTAAACTGACTTTAAGCATTAAGTTAATATTTGTATAATAAAAAATAAATATAAGTTTAAATACAATTAACTCATTACAAAATGATAAATTCATTAATTTTGCCTTGCCTTAGTCCCTTATTTATCAGTGGTCACCACAGCGGAATGAACCACCAACTATTTCAGCCTTTGTTTAACACAGCAGATGCCCTTCCAGGTGCAACCCAATAATTTATGCAGCATTTTTTTTACAGTGAATGAAAAGGAAGATTATCTATAAAATCCATGATTATAAATATATTACTGCCATCTGTGTATGCTGTGTATGCATTTATGCTGATGGACTTATTTTAGCGTTGCAGATTTACCAATTATGCCTGCTTTTATTTTATTTATTAATTTTTCTTTGGCTTAGTTTCTTATTTATCAGGGGTAACCACAGCGGAATGAACCGCCAGCTATTCAAGCATATGTTTTATGCAGCGGATGTCCTTCCAGGCATAACACAGTACTGGGAAACACCCATACACACACAAACTCATACACTGTGGCCAATTTAGTTCATCAATTCCTCTATACACGTGTTGGACTGTGGGGGAAACCGGAGCATCTGGAGGAGACCCACACCAACACAGGGAGAACATGCAAACTCCACACAGAAATGCCAACTGACCCAGCCGAGGCTTGAACCAGCGACCTTCTTGCTGTTAGGCTACAGTGCTAACCCCTGAGCCACCATGCTGTCCTTGTTTTTTTTAAAATCTGTCAAATAAAAAGAGATGAAAATGAAAGCACAGCCAATGAGGATCGGCTGATTTAAAACTGATTTTTAATCCCAGTCTTCATTAAACCCAATAAATCCATCAACTGATTCAGTAAAAAGACATTTCGACAACAATTAATCATTGACAAAGTAAATGAAGCGAATGCTTTTTACAGATTACAATGAAACAAAAAGTGCAGATTTCTGACAGTATACGAACCGTAATGTCTGCTAATACTCAAACAAACCAAATCAATCAATCAGACTATGTTTAATACAGTAACTCTCTGTGCAACTTCCACCATTTCAGAAGCAAAACAATACAAAAACAACGGTTCTATGGAGACAGATCAGTTTCAAAAATGATACATTTACTAAATAAAATTAATGTATGCACAGCACAATTCACATTTACAACATCCGGTTTGTAAATTTAAAACACAATCATAAATTCAACACAATTTGTGAATTCACAACTAAAAAGTCATAAACATTATCGCCAAACGAATTGTATTTGTGTATTTATGAATCACGTTTTAAAGTTACAAATTGGATTTGTGAATTTACAATTTGCATTTTGAGTTTACAAATTGATTTGTGTATTTACGAATCATGTTTTGGAATCACAAATTGTTTTTGTGTATTTACGTATCGTGTTTCGAGTTTATGAATTGGATTTGCGCATTTATGAATCGCGTTTAGAATTTACGAATTGTATTTGTGTATTTTTGAATAACGTTTTGAAGTTACAAATTGGATTTGTGTACTTGTGAATCACGTTTTGAACGTATGAATTGGATTTGTGAATTTACAAATCACGTTTTGAACTTACGAAGTAGATTTGTGCATTTATGAATCGCGTTTTGATGTTACGAATTGGATTTGTGTATCTTTGAATCAAGTTTTGAAGTTACGAATTGGATTTGTGCATTTACGAATCGCGTTTTGAAGTTACGAGTTGGATTTGTGCATCTTTGAATAACATTTTGAAGTTACGAATTGGATTTGTGTATTTATTTATCATGTTTTGAATTTACAAATTGGATTTGTGTATTTTTAAATCACGTTTTGAATTTACATATTGGATTTGTGTATTCGTTTATTGTGTTTTGAATTTACAAAATGGATTTGTCTATTTATGAATCGCATTTTGAAGTTACGAATTGGATTTACATATTTATGAATGGTGTTTTTAACTTACGAATTGGATTTGTGTATTTAAAAATTGTGTTTTTAAGTTAAGAATTGGATTTGTGTATTTTTGAATCACGTTTTGAACTTACGAATTGAATTTACATAATTATGAATGGTGTTTTTAACTTACGAATTGGATTTGTGTATTTATAAATCGCATTTTGATATTACGAATTGGATTTGTGTATTTACAAATTGCGTTTTTAATTCACGAATTGGATTTGTATATTTTTGAATCGCGTTTTCAACTTACGAACTGGATTTTGTAATTGTGGCTGTATTATTTCTGAGACTGGTCTGGCTCCATAGTTTCTTGTATTCGCAACTGAAGCATTTTTCAATATACTGAGCCAATATGTGCAAATGTAAACAATGCAGTCTTATATATCTGTGTTATACAAATAAAGTCTAAAGCCATTTGATCACATGATTTTAGACAAGAAGTAATGTTCATATAGAAACACTGTAAATATCAGTAAATTAGCAGTTATTTTTGATTTATGTTTATATTTTCTATTAATTTACGCTTTTGAATTGCATTATGGGATCTCAATCTTTCTTTCAACAAATTTTACCCTACAAAAGCTGGACAAAGTGACTTTTATGCACATTTGTAATAGTTTGCAGTGCCATATTGTCTGGGTTGGTGTTGTATATTCCGCTACCAAAACCTTGTTATAAACTGCAGCACATTGTCTGTTGTTTTATACGCTTATTTCTTATATATTATATTATTTCAAACGACTACAATGTCAACAAAAGTCACTGTGGTAAACTGTAGAGTTGAATTTTCAACATCAAAAGTCAACAGAGCAGAGATAAGCATCCCATAATGCCATTCACCACGGTAAATAAACCTAAAGTGAATCACAAAATACAGAAACTGTTCATTAACAGAGATCTCTGACACTGTAGGATGAGTCAAAAAGTTGCAGGTTTGTAGACAGCTTATAGACTAGAAAATAACCATGATAACGGTGACGACAAAATATAACCTTATTAAATCCTTTTACAAAATGAACTTCGCGTAACCTTTCCAGAATGGCTCTTATTTCTGAATGAAATCAGAAAATATATTTAGCATTTCGTCTAATCAGATTTTGAACATTTATTTAAATCAAAATGTTACCTTTAGTGAAATTCACTTTGAATATACAGTCTTAGAGCATTATTAGTGAACGAATTAAGCCTGACGTACAGTATTAATTACAAATCTGTTATTCACACGTGCAACTTCATGGAAATAAAGCAACATGGTAGTGGATTCCTGGACACACACATCCATACATATATAAAACCCTCTAAAAACAAATGAAGTTCAATAATAACGGATACGGTATAAAATACAGGCTTCTTACAAATAATTCCCCAAAATGTCCCACATGATTTGTTTTTTATCGTATTTTTTGCAGTCACGTATTGTTGCTCCTGCAGGCCACATTGGAGAAAAAAAAGGAAGTGATATTCACTGAATCCCAGATGGGTTTTTATCAGGCTTCTGATTCACCCTTTTTCAGCCCCTCCTCTCCTACGTCGCTGTCCTCTGATTGGCTGTTGCTTAGGACCAAGAACTGTCCGTCAGCTGCTGGTTGGTTTGGTCGACTAGAGGCGGCAATCAGACGACTCTGTTCCTCCAGATCCTGCCGGTTTGGAAATTGATTTGTTTGCTTGTTAAATGTTTAATTTACACATTTCAAAAAGATGCATTACAAAAGAAAACAAGAACTACAAGAACGCACAAAAACAACAACAAACAAAATATGAACAACAAACAACAGATAAAATGTTTTAAAATAGCAATGAATAAATAAAGATAAATAAATAAATAAATAAAATAGTAATAATTATAATAATATTAAAGAAAACTACTAATAAAAACGAATAAATAAATAAATAAATAAATAAATAAAACAGGGCTATTTATTTATTTGAAAAAAAAATAGCACTGCTTATTCAGCATAAATGAAATAGAAACTATATTCAAAGACTACAGAAATAAAATGCATCATAATGTTTACCAAAATATTAGAAATATAATAATCATAATAACAACAACATATTCCTTTTTTAAGATTTTGTTATAATAAATATAAAAATATTATATATAAATGTAATATAATATATAATATAAAAATATTCTTTCAAAAAAAAATGAATATTTATTTATTCATTTGTGTATTTTATTCAGCAAAGATACATTAAATTATACCAAAACAACAAATCTATTTTTAAATAGTAATAAATTCCTAATATCAATAAGTAAAATATTAATAATATAATAAAAATAATAATAATAATAGTAAAAAAAAATACTAATAAAATAAATAAATAAAACATAGGATTACTTATTTATTTATTTGAAAAAATAGCACTGATTATTCAGCAAAAGTTAAATATAAAGATTTCTTCAAAGACTACAGAAATAAAATACATCATAATTTTTACTGAAATATTATAATATAATAATGATAATAATAACAAAAATATTTATCTTTTTTAACCTTTATTTACTTTGTTATAATATATATAAGCATTAAATAAATCAAAAACAACAGTAATGATCAAATTCTACAGAAGCACTAAGCCGTTTCCATCATCGATAAGAATTATTTAGTTTAGATATTTATTAAATAATATGTATATTTTTTACGTTTTTTATCTTTTTTTGTTTTAGCAATGAGTAATTGTAAACTTGCATCAAACAATAGCACAAAAAAGATAATAATACCCCCAAAAATATTTAGCTTTCTCATTAATATTATATTTTAGTTTTCATCACTGATAATCCTACAGTATTTATGAGCTCAAATGAGAAAACAGTACTGATGCTGAAAATTCAGCTGTACATCACAAGAATATATTTGTATTTAACTATTCAGTCAAACAGAAAACTGTATTAGGGGTTTCAACATTTAGAGTGTATTTTAATTTTAATTTTATGTCACCTTCTCGATTTGTTTTTGTTTATGGAGTTCTTCCTGCTGTTTCTCCTTGGCTTTGTCCAGCTCTCTCTGTTTCTGTGAGGCTTTGCGGTCCTGTCAGAAGAAAATATACTCACATTATTGTTGGCATTGTACCGAACATACATCTAAAATAAAAAAATGTAATTAAATAAAAAATGTTCTCACCATCTCAGAGTGGAGGGCGATCTGCTTGGCCAGGCCTATACTGTCACAGATCTAACATTCAGAAAAGAAGCAGGATGAGCTCAACAAGATCGCAAAAACTTTTAATTTTCCTTTGAAATTATATTTTTAATTAAAAGTGCTGTTTAACAGAGCAGGGACATTTTCACAATATTTCCTATAATGTAATGTAATGTGTATTTATATAGCGTATTTATTGTGTATGGCCATACACCCAAAGCGCTTTACAATCATGAGGGGGGTCTCTCCACACCACCACCAGTGTGCAGCATCCACTTAGATGATGCGACGGCAGCCACAGGACAACGGCGCCAGTGCGCTCAACACACACCAGCTATTGGTGGAGCGGAGAGACAGTGATAGAGCCAATTCAGTGGAAGGGGATGATTGGGAGGCCATGATTGTAAGGGCCGATATAGGGACTTTAGCCAGGACACCGGGGTTACACCCCTGCTCTTTACGAGAATAGCCATGGGATTTTTTTAATGAGCACAGAGAGTCAGGACCTCGGTTTAACGTCTCATCCGAAAGACGGCGCCCACTGACAGTGTAGTGTCCCCTTCACTTTTTTATTGGGGCATTAGGACTCACACAGACCTCAGGTTGAGCGCCCCCTGCTGGCCTTACTCACACCACTTCCAACAGCAACCAGGTGTTCACTGGTGGTCTCCCATCCAGGTACTAACCAGGCTCAGCCCTGCTTATCTTTAGTGAGTAACCGCTCTTGGGCTGCAGGGTGATATGGCTGTGGCTAATATCTTATATTATATTTAATAATATATTTATAATTTATTTATATTTATAATAATATAATATTTATTATATTTAATAATATTTTTCTATCCTAAAAAGTTTTATTTCTTTACGTTTGTTGCGTAAGCGAATGACGTATCTCTGTATACCAATAGCATTTAGCTGCACGTCTTGCTCCGCCTATTGGTGCACTTTCTCAAGTTTGGTAGCCCTTCGAAAGGGTGCCGAAAAAGTGGTACGGTATGGTTCGGTACACCTTTTTGACAGAGAAAATGGCCATAAAAGCGTACCAAACCGAACTGTACCGTACCACTCGATGGAAACAGGCCATAAGACAAAGTAAAATAAAAAGACATAGAAATAGGACATGAGAAACGACTGGAAAAATTGCAAAAAACGTAGCAGTAGAAAGGACTATTAAAAGAATATTAAAAGCCAAGCTAAAAAGGGATGTTTTTAGGAGTAATTTAAAAATAGATAATAATGGAGCCATTCTAATCTCAAGGGGCAAGGTGTTCGATAACCGAGGACCCGCCACAGGGAAAGCTCTGCACCCTTTACGTTTCAGTCTGGACTGACGAACTAAAAGAAAGATTTTGATCACTCGATCTAAGAGATCATACAAGAGAGTGAAAATGCAACAGCTCTAAAAGATAGGTTGGGGCTAGAATATGAAAGCATTTATATATCAGTAAATGCACTTTAAAATTAATTCTCAATCAACTAGCTCTAATTTTTTCCCCAAGTGCTGTTTATCAGAGCAAGGACATTTTTCACAACATTTCCGATAATTTTGTTCTATCTTATAAGGTTTTATTTCTTTATGTCTGGCTGGAATTTAAAAAATGTAAATGTAAAAAAAATGTAAAACATTATTATTATTATAAATATTATAATTTTTTTGATTAGCTACAGAACAAACCAGTGTTGTCCAATGACTTGCCTAGTAAACCTACACCGTGAAAAGTAATGACAAAAAGTCAAGACAACAGATATTAATATGTTGCTTTAAATTTTTTAAATAACTTGATCAGGTTTCAACTGCATTTGTTTTAGTTATACAACGAATTTGCTCAAAAAAAAAAGCTAAAACAACCAATTTTCATTTTTAGCAAAATATATGTGTCTTAATAATGTTTGTAGCAATGTGGCATATTTACATATATATTTACAGTTAAAGTCAGAATTATTCGCCCCCCTTTGATTTTTTTTTCTATTTTAAATATTTCCCAAATTATGTTTAACAGAGCAAGGCAATTTTCACAGTATGTCTAATAATATTTTTTCTTCTAGAGAAAGTCTTATTTGTTTTATTTCAACTAGAATAAAAGCAGTTTTAAATTTTTTAAAAGCCATTTTAGGGTCAATATTATTAGCCCCTTTAAGCAAATTTTTTTTCGATAGTCTACAGAACAAACCATTGTTATAAAATAACTTGCTTAATTACCCTAACCTGTTTAGTTAACCTAAAAAAATAAAATAAATCAGTTATTAGAGATGAGTTATTAAAACTTTAGAAATGTGTTGAAGAAATCTGCTCTCCGTTAAACAGAAATTGGGGAAAAAATAAACAGGGGGTCTAATAATTCTGACTTCAACTGTATGTTTTATATATATATATATATACTGTCAACATCTTTAAAAATGTGTTTTTGTGCTTCGTGACCCTTTAACTTGATATTTTAAGTCAGTTTGATTGATGCAAGCTAAGATGACTAGATTAAACTAAACAATTTAAGGCAGCAAGAATTTATTTACAGTGTAGTTAAGCCTTTAAATGTCACTTTAAGCTATATAGAAGTGTCTTGAAAAATATCTAGTCAAATATAATGTGCTGACATCATGACAAAGATAAAAAATGGTTATCAGAAATGAGTTATAAAACTATGGTTTCGATGTGATGTGATGAAAAATCTCTCTATTAAATCCTGAGAAATATTTTAAACATAAAGACTTTTTACAGGAGGGTGAATCATTTTGTCTTGAAGTGTAAATGAGTGATTCGAGTGTGTTTTTACCTTCTCTCCATCATTGTTTGACTCAAAGATGTAGCAGACGGTAACAGGCTGTCCGTCTGCTCGTCCTCCTGCTGTCTGCAGCACAAAACCAAACAAACGCTTGTTCTCCTGATGCGACGCACACAGAACCACACTGGAGAGCGGAAACTGAGGAAAAACACAACAAGCGCTGACTTCAGAACAGGTTACGGTGAACATGTGAACACTGAATAAACAGTAAACTGCTGAAGCATGTATACCCGTAATCTGGTGACTTGCGTCTGTGGGTCAATGAGCCTGAAAGAAACATACAGAACATCAGAATCAGAAACTATTGGATTGTCTACACCACGACTCCATATATATATATATATATATATATA